GCGCGGCGGTCAGGGCTGGCACCTGGCTGGGCACCAAAGGTAGGAGCATCAGTGGGGACCCAGACCCCCGGTAGCACCGAGCCTGGGGACACATGTCCAACAGCGGGGCACAGCTCCTGTCCGTCCCCCCTGCGCGTGTCCTTACCAAGAGCTGCTTGGGGATGACGGCGATGCTGACTCTGCGGCGGGCAGACCCCTGCAATGGAGGGGCTGGGGGTGAGCACCGTGCCTGCTGCCTCCCTGTGCTCCCCATCCCCTCCTTCCCCATCGCCTCCCCAGCACAGGCAAGGGACACCGAGGAGGAGAAGGGACGCTGCCAGCCTCCCACTGGCCATGGCGCTAAGGGGGGAAGCTGGAGAGCTGGTGAGATGAGGGAAGGTCAAAGCCAAGAGATTTGCGCCTGTCCTTACTGCTTCAAGCCGTGCCGGTGGGGCTGCCTAACCCCCTCCCCGAGCGCTCCCCTACCTCTTGAGCTGTAGGGGAATCAGTGCCGAATTCGAGCTGGTGCTAGAGAACAGCCAAGCCTGCGGCTCTCGTGCTATGACCCTGCAATGCAGAGGGACCTGCCTGAGATCTCCTGGACAAGCAGCCCCCAACCCCGGGCACCCTGTCTCCCCAACCCCGGGCACCCTGTCTCCCCGCAGCCCTCTGAGGCCACCCCTACATTTTGCCTCATCCCCAGCATTTCTAGCAGCCTTTGGCGGCGGCAGGCGGTTGGCGGGGTGGGCTTTGCCGGGGGACTAGCGGGTGCATGGGGACCGCTGGGCAAGGGAGAGCGGCAGGGCACGGGGAGGCGGTGGCTCAGGGGCCGCTGAACTGGGACCCAGTTACCTGCTGGAAAGTTCGCATCAGGGGGTGAGGCCTCAGCCGTGGCTCCGCATCGTCTGGGAGCAAAGAGAAGCAGCCTTACATCACCCCCAAAAATTAAGTCGTGGCTGATGCACAGATGGTTGCAAACCTCCCTCCCATCAAAAGCTGTCCTGGCCACATGCTCTGTGCTTGGCACAAGTCACAGGGGTGCCCCGGCCGGGGGGACCTTGCTCGCATGCATGGTGATGGTGTGCGTGGGGTTTGGCGTCCAGGGACAGAGAGTCCTTTGTGTGTCCCGTGCCCCCCTGCTCCGCATTCCCAGCTGGGCCGTGAGATGATGGCTCTCCGGCCACCAGCACCTGCTCCCACACTGCGTCTGCTGTTACACTGGCCCCTCGCATTTGTCAGCGGGTCCCAGCTGTCACCTGCCCCCGGTCCCCAGCTCGCACAACCCGCCGGCTCTGCGGTGCGGGGTCACACTGACCCCCCGGAGGGATTCGGGACCAAATCCTGCAGGGTCGCCCCGTGCAAACCCCACGCGGGCCCCGGCAGCAGAGCCCACCTC